GGTAGGGGAAGGGGGAGGGGAACCAATCACAAAGGTCCACAGTGGGAAGTGGAGCAAAAATAAAGGAAATCCCGAATTATTCATGACAACCAATTGCCTCGTTCTTTTCACTCACTTCTTCTCAGCTTCTTCTTTCTCTTTTCTTCTCCATTCCCGTTCTGCTTCTTCCTGGTTTCGCTTGGCTCTAAGAGCATCCTGCAAAAGTAAATGTTTTCTTACTAAGTACACGTCTAGCGTCTGCCATTTGAAAGCACAGCAAAACCTCAGAACTTGTTTACGACTGCAGGCAAAAAATGGTCGAATGTATGAGTTCTGATTTACACGAACGTGCGTGCATATTTTTAGTCACGCAGGTGAGTGTAGTGACGTGCAGTGTGCGTGTTTCGCGTGTGCAGTGCGTGGGAATTACACGCACGTCAAGCGCGTGTAATGGTGTTGGTACACGCGAGCCGTATTATAAGGCCAACTTTACAACACATATTAAGACTTTTCGAGACAATAGTAAAGCAAGGCCATCTTAAACAAGGCCATCTTCGCTCCGACGTAGGGCTAACGCTCGAAACGTCAGCTTTTGTAATCGTTACGGTGGCCAATTTACCATTTCAACTTTGTTGATATATCCATCTTAAACAATACCTTCTCAGCTTGTTTGTCTTTGGCTCTCTCCTGCTGTGCACGTAGACGAGCAATTTCTTTCTCTTTTTCAACTCGAGCAACTTCTAATTCACGCTGGTAGGCTTCCTCTCTTTCCTGAACAAAAAGCAAAAATTAAAGTAAATTAAATAAAAATGCGAGGAAAGAAAAAACTTTCAGCAAAAACTATCATGTGACGAAGTTTGTTCACTCACCGCTTTCTGTTTCAGATATTCCATGACTTTTATTTCCTCGAGCTTGTCTTGCGCCGCCTTGCGCTCCTTCAGTTCAGCGATTTCCTGGATAAAAAAAAATTAAATCAGTTGCTTTTTCTTATTGAATGAATTTTACCTAAAAGCTATTTAAATTACACCGAGGCAGTCAGTGGATACTTAAGTAGCACGGGAATAGCTAAGTGGGATTCCTAGAATGCGGGCGACCTTCTCGCTTTTCCTAAGAAAAATCGATATTTATCAATGAAAAAGAAAACCCTGGTATGTCATTTACTCTTTAACTCCCGAGAGTGACCAAGACAGAATTTCTCCTTATAATGTTGATACAATATCCAGCAGACATGAAATGAGAATAAAGAAAAATATAAACTAAGGGATTATTAGCTGATCCAATTACCAAATTTAGGGAAAGCAGTGATGGCAAAACAAGCCCAAAACGACGGAAATCGCCAAAAAACATAACGGAAACACAAGGAATGAGTAAGTTTTATTAATATAACATGTAAAATATTCATATTTCGGAATACTTAGTGCTTTAAATGGACCATATTTTATTCCCCATACTATTCCTTATAGCGCATTCAAATTCTCAACGGTTGCCCGCGTCACACAACGCGTAACGCATTCATGAAATAATCCTTCACTTTCCCTCGAGACGTCAACTTGGGACGCCTGTGATATCTTGGGAATGAAAGAGTTTAGATGCTAGTTTAGGTCCCTTATCTACTTGAAAATCTTATCTGTGCCCCCTTGGGGTGGATGAAAGATGTCTCTTAAAAGACAAGGTTGAGTTACCTCATTTGCTTTGGCTACTTCTTTCATCAAAGCTCGTTGAACTTCTTTCTTTTTAATCAGGTTCTCCAAATCCTCTGCTTGAAGTTTATCCAAATATTGCAACATTGCCTAGGGGATAATCATTTATATATATATATATATATTTATTTAACAATTATTCGCCTCAGGTTCGGTGAATATCGTTGAATAATCCCCGAGACAAAGTCGAGGGGATTATTTGACAACATTCACCGAACCTGAGACGAATAATTGTTTTAGCATAATTTCAGAGCTGAACAACAGAGAAATTTCTAAAATCATAACATTTTAGCAACATTTATAATAGTGACTCTGATCAGTCACCTGTTAGAAAACATACAAACAGTGATTCTGATCAGTCACCCCCTAGAAAACATGGTACTGGTGATTCAGACCAGTCACCACCAAGAAAACATAAAAGGTTTGAAGGAAGAGATCCCAGAACAGAAAGTGGGAAACAGAGGAGAGGTGACAAACATGAAGAAAGAATGGCCAGTGGTTAGTGCAACTGCGGAGTTTATTTCTTTTCTTTGATTATTTTCTTAGGTTTTTTCCTTACTATCTGCTACACGACTCATATGATGTTAGTTCAGAGAGTTAGATAATAGATCAACTAATAATCCCCTAATTGATATTCTTCTTTATTCTCATCACTTGTTTGCTTGATATTGTATTAATAGTGTGAGGAGAAATTTTATCTTGATCACTCATGGGAGTTAAAGGGTTAAGTTGCAAAGTCACACAAGTTTTGTGTAATGTTAATTTGTTGCAGGATTAGAGAAAGCTCGATATTTTCTGAATTGTTATAGCCATCTGTAATCAACAGAAACTTTCTGTGGCATAAACGGATTCCTATTATTTTGAGACAGAGAAAGATGTTTTCTCATCACATTCAAGAGCTTGGGAGAAAAAAAACATTTTGAGTGCTTGTGATCAGATGTCAAAAATATGAGGAAATGTCTATTAACCCATTGACATCCAGTGCACCTGTATGCGCCCATGTGGACCCACACCCTTTCTACGCCTTGTGACATCATCACTTTTAACCCTGGAGCATGACTTTGAGCACATACTTGAACAGGTTGAAAATATCTTACAAACAATACCAGAATGAGCGCAACTGAGTGAAGGAGATTGGAGAAATAGCCAAAAAACCATGTAACTTTAACCTGAAAATCTGCACGAAATCTTGTTCCATTATCCACCTACCTTTCTGAGCACGTGGTTTGAAAATAATGAGTAGTTTCCTGAAAAATCTCTACACCAAAATGAAGCCTACTAAATTTCCAGCGAGTGAGGAGAAACTTCAGGCAAGGAAAGGGGAAAAAAGGGCAGGAGAAAGAAAGAAAAGTAAAAGTCGTAAGTGGGGCATTACTTTTCAACCCAAAAACGATCTCGAAAATTTGCTTTCTGCACGTGCCTGAGATTTTCAGGCCGCCAATTTGCATTTGGATCGAAAGACCGTCAAGTGTACAAGCTGTCAATGGGTTTGTGGTAAGTTTGAGCTTTTAAAACCACAACAGTGACCCAAAATCTGCTCGACTAGCTTCAATACACAGTTTTTCACAAAAGCTGCAGCCATTAATGGGTTAACATACCTCATTCAACTTCTTAATTTCATCATCTTGTTCCTCCATTAGTTCATTAGCTTTATCTAGCAAAGTTCCACTCTGTATCATCTTCTCCTAAAACATCATATAAGACAGAAACAAAAGAAATTTAGCCACTTAAGACTTTTGTCATAAATGGGAGGCTTGATCATAATTTTTCGTGTGCACGTAGATAAGGATTCTTACCTAATGCTTTTAGTGAAAATTCTGCATTTTTTTCAAGTGTTAGAGGTTAATTCACACATACATAAAAGGAAAAATATAAAAGCCTGCTGTAGTTTATCAAAGGGTCAACTTGCATGACCAAAAAACTGCCTTACTAAAAGGTTATCATTCTGTAAATGACAATCACTTTACTTGCTCAAGGTCTGATGGTTTGGCGTTCTCCTTCCGTTTCAGCTCCATGGTCTGCATAAAGTTCTTACGTTCTTCTGATGCATTTTGAAGAGCTTCTTTCCTTTTTTTCATTTCCTCCATGGAAGCTTCCTTTTCAGCTTGTGTTGGAACATGAGATGCAGACTGCACTTACAGGAAATAAATAACAAGGTAATTAATTTAGAGGTTGATCTATTCAGTACCTCAGTCTATTTATTTTTAAATCCCAACTAGTGGAAAGGAAACAAAAATAGCAAGTTACAAAGTACAGCGGAGGAATTAAACTCCTGAATATCAAGAAACAAATCTAGTTGTGAGGCAGAGTAGAGGAATTGAACCTGGGAACTCCAGGGCTGGGTTGTTCAAAGCTGAGTCAATATAACCTGGGGTTAGCATGAAATCTGATTTCAGATCTGAAAGCTTTTAAGGAAAACTCAATATAATTATTTTTGTCTACAATCTGATTACTGGATGCTTAAAAAGAATACTGGAGACAATTACCCCAACGAGGCTTTTTGAAAAAATAAAGAAAGATATCTGTATCAAAAATTCAACCCTAGGTAATGCACTCAATGGTCTTTGAACAACTGGGCACAGATATATAATCTGCTGCCCTGAAGCACTTACCCTTACAACCCCCTAAATTCAAAGTTTCTAAAGAAAACGTTAATCTGTCTGCATTCACGGACACTTAAACTTAAGGTACTATTTTTTAGCTTCAAAAGTTTTTTTTTTTTTACAGCAAGACTATGTACAAAGAAAACTTACACAAATTTGACCAATTTATCTACAGGAAAAAACTGATGACCTTCAACCAAAAAGTTTCAGAGTTCTGCACTGACTGACAACACAGAATTCAGTAAAAATTCATTATTGCTTGTTTCCTTTAATCATTTTGATCAGTTTTGTGCCAGTGGTCCTGGTAACAAAATTACCACTGCAACCAAACTAAGCATTCAATTAAAAAAGGTCCTATGAAATGTGTTTAATTATGCTAAAAAGTCACCTTAATTCTTCTAAACTCTCCAACCTCTAATATAATACTTCTTCCAGAGGGATCTTCCTGTGGAACCCTGAGAAAAATATAATGAAAAGTTAATAATTTACTTTAATTGTTCATCAACTCATAAATTATTTGTCAAGATAGAGCAGTATGAATTTAAATGATTTTAAAGGCTCAAATATTAATCACAAATTTAAACTAATACTAAAACCAACCTGAGTCTTCTGATCAAGTCTTTAGTAATAACTTGAATCATTTCTGGTTCTTCAGATTTAGCTGGAGACTTTTTGCCACCTGGACTGCTTCGCCGGCGTGATCTCTCTGATAAAGCAGCAGCAAAAGCATCCTCTTCACCAGGCCTTACTTTCTTTGGAGAGGCAAATAATGTTTCATCCTGCCAACAAAAAAAATGAGTTGAGAGGATGGTGAGCACTTGACTTAACTGTGCAGCTAACTCACTCACAAGTGCAAAGTTAAGAAAGATGATGCTTGTTTTGTCACAAATGTGAACAAAAAACTGAGTTCTGCCTGAAAAGTGAAAGCAAGACCTTCAAATTTTACACTCCTAGGCTCTACCACTGATCTACAGAGATCTAAG